GATAACGAACGTACACAATCGTGTTTTATCTCTCAGGTACACCGTCGCGTTACCGAAAACACAGAAAACATGCTGTTCGGTATCGCGAGCTTAAAGCGCGATCACCGACGCACTTTATAGGTAAAAACAAGGTGTATAGTAAATTCCGACAGGGAAAATGTCTTAGTAAAAAAGGTACATGTAAACTCCGTCCATAAAAACATGTAGGTACAAAAACGGATTTGTAAATTCCGATTGTAAATATTTTTAAACTAAGCGTTCCGTGACTGTACGACACGACCGGACGATGAACACGGAACAACCGTATCTCAGACGACAATCGTCAATCATGTCATATCTTATCAGCTTTGCTACGTATGGTGAATCTCATAATTGGAAATATTAGATAGAAATATTACAAATTGTGTTCAGTACACGTCCTAGGTCCTTTTATGTTTATACGCTAAATGGGTCAATTTATCGAATCAGAACATGGAAATATACTTTTAGTGTTACACGATTTTAAATTTTCTAAAGTATTTTATAGGGCGTGTTTATTAACTAACAATTTTTTTTGAGCGGAATTTACATGTACCTTATTTTATGTGTAATTCGTTTTGAGCGGAATTCACAAGTGCCCGTTCATCGCACCGAAAATGTGTACCACGCGCACGTTCGGTCACGGAGCGCGGGCGAGGCTGTGTGATTCGTCCCGGGGCTGTCAATCCGGAGGGGGGGGGTGTGGGTGCGGAGGAGGTTAAATCACAGTTTGTTCGGAAGATTTATCGGCGTCGAATTATCTCCGGAATGGTTTTACCCGTTTAAAGTTCGATGGCGACCCGGGCGATATTGGTAAAACGTGCTCTCGTTTCGAAATCATCCTCGAACGCATGCGCGACGTTTGGTTACTATCGTTTTCTTTTCTAACTTTTTTTTTTCCGTCTACCTATATATATCCCGTACAAGCGGGACGCCCTTTCCCGAGAGCGAACCGTACGATAACAGAACGTTTTTCTTATTGCAGCACACGGTCGTACGCGTAAAGTATGGACACGGAATTATTTACCAAAACGCTTAGTCGGCACTCGGTATCGCCATCGCGTTTCTCGTTAACGGGTTCGGCGGTCGTGTACAATTATACTGCCCACAACGATAGTGATAGTTCGATAGTGATTACGCGACGTTATGGCCCGGCGCACAGTGGGACGCAAGTGACCGCAGGTAATCGCAGCGCAGGAAATACTGTGTGATCTATGTGAGCAGCATATTACTACGCAGTTCTGTGCAACGCTTTACTTAGCCATGAGCGAAATTATAGCAGAAAATTTAATAATTTTAAGTTCCGAATCGGTTTCAAATGATAAATTTGACGATTTTTTTTTATTATATTCGTTAAATATACATAAAAAAATTGTGGAAAAGTAATTTTTTAATTTTGTTTTTGTACAGTTTACATGACCAGTGTCATATAAGACAATGCAACGTCGTACGGCTTCAATCACAAACTCTTACGCGCTGAAATTAAAATAAAAAATAAAATATTGAACTAAAATTAAAAACGTGGAAAATATGTTAAGCCGGTGTAACTAGAAAATATTCCAAACGCGTGTGGCACGTGCGCAGTAAACTGTGTCGAGAACACTGCGTGATGCAGGACGGCACAAGGCACGTTCTGCTCTGACCTGCCCTGCCTCAGAATATGCGTTAGTACGTTCTAACTAATAGATTACAGAAAACTATGCTGCGCCCGACCTAAACAAGCGTCTCGCAGAACGTTTCTTTCGTCCGAATATAATCGCAACAATGGCGATCGAAACGCAGTTTGGACGAATTATACGAAAATGATTCAATTACGCGACCGGATCGCCGTTTTTCTCTCACCATTATGGTAATCCATTTGTACTTTTTGGAGAAAAGAAAAAGTTTTGTTTCACCGACAAACTGCGTAACACTGATTATCGCTTTGCGCACGGTCGTAGTCGAGTTAACGAAAACGATCGGCTCCCAGTTAAAGATATCGTCAAATTAGTAGTTAATAATATGGTTAACAGATCGTGGATTTCACTCAGCCAGCTAAAAGTTTATACGGAAAACAGTGTTAACTCGACTCGGTTCGAAAGCAATGAATCTTTTTATCGGTCTGTGTGTTTGCAAGTGATTTCCTTTCATTTAAACAAACGATTTCGTTGAATTTCATAATAATATACAGTACACAGTGCAATGTACGAATTTATCTTAATTTATATGATTGTTTAACATTTAAATTGTATACATCAACCAATCAAATAAATTAATTAGTAATTGAATAAACATTTATTTCAAGTCAACTGGCCATTTGAGACATTATAATATCGAAACAATACTAATTAAGTATATTAATATTGAATTGCGATGTAATATCTTCGTTAAAAAAATTTGTTATGAAAAACATTATAGGTCACAATCGCTTTTTATATTAAACACGTTTAATAAAATACATTCCCTTTAAGTATACACTTTTGCATGATTTATTTTTTAGTATCATAATGTTCATTAGCAACACGATTATTTAAAAATGTCATAAATCTCTCCTCGTCTTTTCCATCCCCTGCCTTCCTACACTAAACATCCTCTCTACAGGTGTAGGTTTTATATAATAGTGTAAGCAATAATATTTTTAGAATTCGTCTTCCAATAACTGGTTGGCCGTATTTTCTTGTCGATAATTATCTAAAAAATCTGTTGTTTATGTTTAATATTTAATATTATTTTGTCAAGAAAAATCAACTTTAAGAAAATCCAAATTATTTCAATAGTCAATTTTACTAATTATGTCCTCTGTTATTTAGAAAATTATTCAACTAGTTAAGTCATATAGTTTAAATTTTTTAATGCTTTTTAACTAGTTAATGCTTACTTTTGCGTAAATTTATATGAACGAATGAGGTGTACATACATATACAGATTATATATACACGTCCTAAATATACTATAAGACACATATGTACATTTTGTTTGGCCGCCGATCAGTTAAACGGTTATATGAAATGGTTAAACGTTAAACGGTTGATAAATGATAATTACATGTATACTCTTCATACAACATTTGTTTGAAATTAAATCACACATCATGATTAAACATGCATAAATCATGGTTATTACGATTGCTTAAATTGTATAAAAAGTTTCTTTACAAGACGTGTTCGTTAAAATATAAACTAAGCCAAAACAATAGTTATTGAAGTTTCATAAATCATTTTGTTTTCAATTTGTAGAATACGGTAAAATGTAATATGATGTGAAATAATTTCACAAAAGTTTTAACTAGAGTAAAAAGTTAAATAGTCGAACTATAAATAATTGAAGAGTTAAAATAATTTCAAGTGAATTTTGTGAAAATGTTTTGTTACAAAAATAAATATATTTATGTAACTCGAAATTCGTGTTATTCTGGAATTAACAAGAAAAACTATAATGGTAAACAGTTTATGGAAATATTTATTTCAAATTTAAACGCATGTATCTTTCAAACTCAAATCGACTATACAGGAACAAAATAATATACCTATCAAAATAATATTACACCTTATCGAACCCTTTAAGGTATTATTCCATCGAATTTTAGTTTGATAAACCCGTAGTATTAAAAATGATTGAGTGCTTATTTAAAATAAATCTATGTCTAAAATGTGAAATTTCAGGTAAATATACTCGTATCAATTATGTAGGAATACCTGTTATATCTTTCTAACCTGAAAGATTATATGATACATATGTTAATTTAACTGGTAACCTATTTACAAATATATTTTTAAAATGAGATTGATTTCTTAGAATTAATCAGGATCTTGTTTACATAAAATCTCTTGGTTTTTGTTGTAAATTAAATCGATAAACATTACATTTTCAAAAATGAGATCATTTTAAGCCTTTGATCATCACAAAGTAAATAGCTATAAATCATATTAATTTCTTTTACTTATTTTTATAAACTTATTCACTCATTTTAGTTTGATTGGTTTTACCTTGGTTAATATTCCTAGAATATTCATTTACCAAATCTTATTATATAAAAAGTATACGCATTGCAGTTAGTTATATTTGAACGACATTGCTTACAAATAATTTAATGATAGTATTTAAATTATCTATTCACCGGTAATATAGTTTTTTTTTTCCACAGTTAATACAAATGCGTATGTATTTAAATTCATTTTAATTTTTTATATAAAACTTGAGTTGACTATGCTTTATACAGGCCATATAATAAATAAAAGTATAAGTTTAATTTAAATTGTCGTTTTCTTTTATTTTATTTTGGTGAATATATTTATTTATTTATTTACACTATGAAAAGTCGTTTAAAAACGAGCAAAAATATTTTAGTTTCAAATATATGCATATTACAACCCCACATTATAGATATATTTATTCAATATTTAAAAAAAAAATAATAAAATTCTTGATAAATGTTCAATGTCAATTAGTGTTGGGAAAAATCCGGATTTAACGAAGTTCGAAAATCCGGATTCATGAAATTCGAAATCCGTAATCCGGATTCGGATAAAAATTCGGATTTCGGAATTCAAATTCGGATTTTAACCGAAATCCGGATTTCGGATTTTGAAGCATTAAATTAATATTTTTTTATGGATTCCTTATATTAAAGCCTTGATAAATACAGATTTTTTTTTTTTTTGTAAAAAAATAATATATTTATAGGAAAACTTTTAAAGCAAAAATATAACAATAACAATCATCAATATTGCAATAACGTGTAGATATTACAACCTAAACTCAGTTTATACATGAAATTAGTAACAACATTTATAAGTAGCAGAATAATTTATCTAAAAATACACAATAAATAATACCTAAATAGGGTTAGGTTAGGTTACAAATATAATAATTTAAGTTTGAAATAATAATTATAAATAAATAAATAATTAAATAATAGTAATTTATAATAGTAACAATGAAAATAATACTTCTATGGTTATAATAATATTAATAATATTTTAAATAATAATAAGTTGTTAATATTATGCCTGGTTTTTCAAAAATACCAATGCTGACAAATGATATGGCGTCATTTGGTTTCGCTTGGGTGTAATTATATTACCTGCTGTAGAAAATACACGTTCGGACGATGCTGATGAAGCAGGAATGCATAAAATATTTTTTGCCAAAACTGATATTTTAGGATATACATTTTCCCGTGCTTTCCACCATAAACATGGATTGTCGTTATGGTTTATTTGAGGCTCTGACAAATAACGAGTAAATTCGTCCTCATCATCATCAGAGAATTGGCCCATTAGCTCGTCTAATATAGTTTTTTTTGCAATTTGAATATTGCCACATACAGTTGTCGAAATTTGATTTACAGATAATACTTTTGAACGAACAATTGGTTGAATACGGTATTTAATTTCTTCCGAGTGTTCAAATTTTAAATTTTTGTACCTAGGATCAAGTAGACTTGCTATTTGAGATACATTCACCAGTATTTCATTAGTATTTTTCTCTGACCCACTTTCCATCGAAAATCTTTTAGCCAAATCTTTGGAAACTGTGTTTTTAAACATGGTAGCGAACACACAGTCTGTTTGATTTGAACTTAAGTGCTTAGTGATGAGACTACCAATAAGTGGCCGAACCTAAAATACATAAACAAGTTTTTAAAGTTTTTACAATTAAACAATAAAATTAATTATTAACAAGGTTTTTGTTTATATTAAATATTTACCATAGATATAGTGATTTGTTGTTCAGAACATAATATTGTCGTAGCTAGTTGCAGTGGTTTCAATAACTTGACAAGAACTTCACATCTATCCCAATCTTCTTCTAACATTTCCAATTTTTTCACAATTTTTGTATTAAAATATTCTCTATCTGATATAACCGATAGGCGATAATAGATAGATACTTATTATACCTACTTTAGTCAAATATACATTTAATATTTTCAATATAAAATTATAAACCAACTGTACATATCAGATATTTTATTTTCATTTTTATTTTCTATAATACAACAGTTGAACCAAATTTACAAATGTATAGTGTATACTGGGTAGTGAATATTTACTATTTAGTATTATTCATTTCATTATCCTACAGAATAATTCAAGCTAGGGCTGTATCATATAAAGACATTTTTTTATTTTTTAATAACTAAAACTTAATACTGTTCACAAAGTGAAGCGCAAAAATATGTATTACAATTTTAAAGTTCAAATAATTTTAGATTCTGAGTGGAACGATGAATGTTTTTTATTTAAATTAGAAAATGTTCGTTTTTTTTATATTAGAATTTATAACGACAAATTTTTATTTTTTGCTTTAGAATACAGAAATCTACAATGTGAAACCCAAATATTCGGATTTTACAGCTTAAAATCCGAAATCCGGATTTTTCGGATTTTCGGAGAATCCGGATTTATTTCACACCACTAATGTCAATTAGTTATATATTTTCCAACATTGAATTAAGTATTTGAAATTTATACAATTTTAAATGTTCATTAATTTTTAAATATAAGTAATCAAATGTTAATAAATTATTTTTACAGGTTTCAGATTCAACAGAAAAATGAAACATATATTTTACGATGTTGTATAAAGTTCTCATTTTAAATATTTAATTTCTAATGAAATTTAAATGTTGTTTTGGTTGTTTTGATTATCAAATTTGTATGTGAATATTCTTATCTATGGAAATATAGTCAAAACTAATATGTTTACATTCAAAGAATAACAATACAAATATGGTTTGAATAAAATCAAAATCTCAGTTTTTTTCCATCTTGTTTATTTAAATACATTTATATTATTATAATCACATAAAATGTTTGAGAAAGTAATATATAAACAAAAAAATTATATACAGTGCATATTAAACAATATAATGTATATTATATAAATAATTAAATAAATAAATAAATAAATAAATAAATGTGTAACAAAATTACATAACATGGTATTTAAATTTTTCGAATTTCCATCCATAATTTACTGATAGATATTCAATGATTAAATTAAAATACTCAGCATCTTGAACAACTAGGTGTAAACTATTTACTAATCCCTTATTGACACCAAACAATTTTAAGGAATCAATGTGATATAATATGGAAGATTAATAAAATTACTAAACATTTGAGATAATATACTACATTGTGGTATTCATTTACTTAAGAGATTATTTACAGTTTTTACTCACAAAAATAAATCGTCACAACTATTTACAATAATTTAAAAAAATAATTATTGATTCTATTTTTAATAAACTCATTGGGATTAGTGCCAACAAAAACAATTGAAATGAAAAAAGAAAAATTAATAAATTAACGACAAGATAAACACTTAGAAGAATGCAATAAGATTTGAAAATAATTAAAATATAAAATACAAGTTTTTTTTTTTGACCAACATAAAATTTCAACAAAACTTTTAAATAAACCGTTAAGCAGATGAGATTAAAAAAAAATATACCAACATCATATTTTTAAAACTAAAATGAAGAGTTTATTTTTATAGCACGATTTTAACATAAATATAATACAGTTAGGAAATGTTATTTAATTTTATATAAAGTAATCTTCCACAGTGATGGAAGTCTCTGAATTAAACATTAACATTAAAATATTAATAAAATAGTTAAACTTAATATGGTAAATATTACATCGATTAAATTTGAATAACTCAATTTAATGAAAAATAAATATAGATGTATTTATAAATATACCCATCGATATCCGTTGTGTCCAATAAGGAGAATCGATGTCAATGAAAAAAATGACAACTGAATCGTTAACAGACTAGAATTTGAGCTTTTGTGTCGTTGAATTGCAGCTGTATTGTCAAACTCTAAAACAAAAAATAGAAAATTTAAATTTATCATACACGATAAACAATTATCATATTTTACAACAGTTTAAAATTACGAATAACATTTTATAATATGTGTTGATTTTATAATTTACTATATACGTTTACATTGATATTGTATAAATATGTTACTTATTCCTATCAATATTCATTAAAAATGAAGTACCTATAAGTTTCATGTGATCGGATGTCATTTCTGCACTAAATCAAGATAGAATAAGAATAAATATGTTTAATATAAGTATGAATAAAAATACAATATGTGACAGAATATAGATAAAGTAAAAATAAATACAATTTAAATGATAAATTATTTACATTTTAAAATGTACGTATATTTAGCCACACAATATTGTTGGCAATTTTTTTTTTTTTTTTACAAATATATCAAAGTATTTTAATATATTATATAAATAATAAATCGGGTTATGCAGAACTGCGTTTGAAAACTGAAATCAAAACATTATTTATAAATGTTTATGGATGTCAATGAATGACGTTTCGTGGTATTTTCAATCAAACTCTTGTCGAAAACATTTAAAGAACTGTTACGTACATATCTAGCTGGTCTTAATATGTTAGTCCTATTTTGTTATTTATTAATAAGAATTGTTATTGTGAATTATTTAAAATCAATCACATAATTACTATCGATACAGGACGTACAATAATAACCTGCCGCTGTGATACCTTAGTATGGACACAAGACTATATTCGTTCACCGGTGAGCGAAAAAGTCCAAGAGCATTATATAATATAATATGCGAAATTGTAAACAAACGGGTATCGTTACTGTGAATCAGATTATGTATCCATTACCAAAATAGGAAACACAAACCGGTGTAATCGGCATATCAGTCATCGTGTAAACAACTACATCAGTGGGCACCTAATTCTTAAATACCAAATACGCGTTATATTTATTTTTATATGTACACAAAAATTTCAAGTCAAAGGACGGAGTAATATCACAATGGAGTCCAGCAACGAGAAGTCACCTGCAGATAATCTGATGAGACTGTCGAGACACGAGAGAGAAAAATGACGATCTAATTTCTGACCGGTATTCTCTATAAACAATGTATTATAATAATTATTATTATTATTGAAAGGAAAAAAAAACACTCATCACAGATAAATGTTTATGTATATGTTAGAGTTAAAGTATTGAATTCTGTTATTTTATGAAATAACTAGGTAAGTAGTTCATGAATGTTAGTTAAAGTATGAACTCATGTATGAAAAATGTACTTTAATTAGTTCCTTCATAGAATATCTAGTTATTTTATACAATTTTAGTCTAATGTATATTGAAGTATAAAATATATTAAAATTTAAAATATATAACATTTTATTTATTTTAAATTTAATTAATTATTTCTTTGTATAAGCAAAACTATTGTAGAGACAAACGAATCAGCACTGAATGCAAGTTCTTGGTTCCATGTTAATAACAAATTAACTAACACGAAAATCTACCTTGGAACCCTATGGCATGGTTTTTAATCAAAACCCTTGCTTTAAGTATGTTGGGTTAACTTTGAACCGTATTCTCTTCTTCAACACTCACTTTGAGAAAAACCCTGATAAACTCAGTTCTAGAAAAAGCATCATAAAAAAATTATGCGAAACCTTCTGAGGAGTCTCAGCATATCTTATGAAACTCAGCATTGGGACTCATCTATACAATCGCTGAATACTGTTATCAATAGCGATACACATAAGAAAAGTTAACACTTATTTAAATTACACTATGAGACTAATTTGAGACATAATTAAATCGACCCTCACTGGCTGGCTCCCAGTTTTAACTTCAATCGCTCCTTCATCACTATGAATGAAAAATTCCTTGATAAAAGAACTTTAGAAAATATTATGAACCAAACTCTACCAATCTACAATTGTACATCGGATTCAGCTAAATCGTGACTCAAATATTGGAATTCTCCTGTTAGAATAAAAACTTCCTAAGACGATTTTGATATGATAATTGAATGGAGAAAAAACTGGCTCGAAACGATAGAGACAATAGGTGCTGATAAACTTTTGAGTTCAATCAACCAGGTACATACGCCCCCAAGATTCAAAAGTGACTTGTAAGCACCTTCTACCTCGTTAGAAGCATTTTGGGGTAGGGGGGAGGTCTGTCAGCAGCTCAGTGATCAGTAGTTACATAACTACATAATTAACGCTTTAACGTTAAAGCAGTTTTAATGTAAATCGAGCGAAGTCAGAATAATTTTTTCGGAGTAAATGACTGGTTTAAATTAATCCACCCCGATAAGTTGTAAATGTATAACCAACTTTGCCAGCATTTTACTTTTCTTGGAATGAATAAAACCTTATTAAATAAGGTATACACATCCCATTTTTGATGTGGACACGAGACTCTGTAAAAATGGAGTAAAATCAACTCGTCTAAGTGTGATTGTGAAACTGAATAACAAACAATCAATCATATCGCTTTCGAATGCCCATTACGTTCATATAAATATCCGATAATTGACAGCTTTAAAGTTTCACTGCCTAGAAAATTTAGATCTCAAGTTCTGATAGCAAATTTATATAATATAATGTATTATATAATTATTCATAAATTTAATTTTGTTTAGTTATTTATGTCAGAATCACGGAGAAACGTAGAAAAACATTTGGGGACGGGAGTTTGAAAAAAATATAAAATGTTAATAAAAAGTGCGATTTATTATTTATTATAAATATGTTATGAGCAATATGGAATACCGGGCAATCTACACGTTGCTCTGGTAATTTGAACCTCGAATAGAAATAAATAATTGTTAAACTTATAATAATATATTGTAAAATGTTTTACAAATAATAGTATAATATTTTACATTATTTATTTTTTTTATTCTATGTTATATCCATTTTTTTCCCATATCACACTGATAAAAGCTATAGCTATATCCATAAAACAGTCAAAAATATATGAATAATAATTGATATTTACAATGAAGCAGTTGAGTATTCGTACTTTTCCAAACACTTTGTGCTTTGTAATTACTTATTTATATTCGAGGTTCAAATTTCTCGAGAATTGTGTACAATGTCCGGTATTCCATTTTACATGTAATATGAATTAAATATTTGAGAGTCTTATGTAAAACTTTGAAATAACTATTATATGTTTAGATTAGGTATTTTTTTTATATTTTAGAGGAGAGGGTTGTACCCTTACCCCCTTGCTTTGGCACCTTACCAGAGATCATAATTATTATTATTTCTTATAAATCTAATATATTTTTCTACTTTCTTTTATATTTTTAAATTTTATATCCGATTATATTTTTGATATTTTAAAGTTTATTATTTATGTTCTGTGATAAAGTTTTTTATGTCATACGTTAAACAAATAAATATTTTGGGAAAATGGTTGCACTTCAGTAGACATTCTCTAAATCATATGACGGATATGTTTAAATTTCTGTCTAATGTAAAAAAAAAATTCTTTTCGAACTATCTTCAAAAGGTTAAACATTTTCAAAAAAAAAAAAAAAATCACGTAATACTAATTATAACTATGCGAAAAAATAATTAAATATAAAATTGTATGTATATCACGTGTTATTTTATAATCTACTAAATCAATTTAAATACAGCTGGTCGAAAAGCAATATCGATTTTTCACCTTTCAATTAAGCTTCGTGTTATATGAATATTATAAACAAGAAAACATAATTTCAGTAATTTAATCAAAGCGCGTAATATAAAAACCTTTAATTTAACTAACTAATACTTATATTATAATGATGCCGTAATTTATTTCCATCTTTATGCCTGAAATTGTATGGACTATGAGTGACAATATTTTTTTTTCAAAAATGTTTTACATACTTAGTATAAATATAATAAAATACAGTAAAAAAGGAAGTTATGGTTTATAATATTTAACAAAAATAATTTAATAAATTAAAACGATAATTCTTGGATTTCTATATGTTATTATAGTTAAAATAACCATAAAACATAATATTAACATTTGCAAAAAAATGTAAGCTCTTATTTTCAGGAAATATAGTTTGTATAGTTTTTACACTTATGACTATGAGGGTAGAATATAATAATAAGTGCATGGCTATATCAAAACTTAATATAAACAACGAATTTAAATTTTACAGTGAAAAACCCGGCTTACTCGATAAAATGTTTGAAATAAAATAATTTTTATAAATTTTTGAATTATTTTATACACTTTTTACTGACAAAAGTCTTGTAAAGAACACTCGAAATTATATGAAAAATAATAGTTCAAATTAATTTGATCAGATCCATAAAAAAAATGACATCGTTTAAAATTGTATAATACCGTTTTGAAATGAGATATATTATTTATTTAATAATGCAAAAGGAAAGGCTACATTTAAATCATTTTTGTATATAATTTCTTTGATTACCTTTTTGTTAGTTTTTAGAGAAAAAATTTAAAAAGCATCTGATTAGTATTTATTTTTGAAAAACACTGTAATTGTATAATAATTTCTTGTTACGAATAAAGTACGTTTTTAATTCTGAAAGCAGAAGTAATATATTACTATCATGTTACTTTTACTGAGAAAACTAACCAATGATCTTATCATAATTGTAAAGTATTAAAGAATTTTCTCTGAATCAATAGGTAGATATAATAAAAAAAAAAAAAAAATAAACATCCTTTGATAAAATTATTTATTGACATTCCACATGAATATTTTGTAAACATAGAATAACTTGAAAATGAATTTAATTACACTGAAAAGATTTCAAAAAGCTATCAAACTTTTGTGATTTCTTAATCATGTTAAGTAAAATAAATACATGTTGAGTCTATGGAACTATTCATTTTACGACGAAAATTATAATTAATTTTGGTTGAAGACGATACAACATAGCATGTGCTGTTTATACTTTATTCATTGTTTTACTAAAGTCAAGATTATTGTTCATTTTTCGCAACTTAATAGTAAATTCTTTGAAAATTAAATTAATGACAGATCTAGAGTATCTACTGGCTGCAAGCAATTTTCAGTTTACAAGTGATTTAATAAAATCATGATATACCACTAACCTATAGTGGTATTTAATTATACAAATATATATATTAACTAATGCGATAAAATAAATATCTTACTTATAATTTGAAAAATTATAATACGGACGGTGATGGGTATAAAATATTCGATAAAATATACGATACGTAAAACGCATATAGTTTATGATAGGTAGTAGAATTTTTTTTTATCCTTCTTCGTTCTAGTTTTATATATATGATACCTTCGTCGAACAGTGATGACAACCCTTATAATCCTAAAATAGATCAGTCACATAAAATCTTTCAAAGCCATCAAAAAAATTTCGACGTGGACAAAAATCTATTCAAATAAGTTGAACGAAGTAACTTCGTATTTATTTTTTTTTTTGTTTTTATTTTCGTACTAATTAGTTTGAAATTATTAATACTATACAGTATTATAATATCGTTATCCAAGAGTAAACGCTATTGATTTTAAACTCATACGACGAAAAGAAAAATTAAATTTCTCACCAAAATCCAAAACCATGTTGTGAATACAATACGAGGGTTTCGATTTTTGTCAGCGTGAAAGGATCATATATGAATTGATTTATAACTTTTTATCAATCCGAAAATCTTGATATTTTATCGCTTCATTTATTTTAATTATTTATGGATAAAATCACAGTTTTATAATTATCACTATTTTAAAACAATGTAATTTTTCAAAAATTATACATAACCACATAAATTTATTGAAAACCTAATATAGTCTGAACTTTTATGAGATAATTTTTTGAAAATTTCAACTGGAATGTAAGTTTAAAAACTGTATCAAAAAATTATCAAAACATTACATATCAATAACACACATTGAAATACTAATTTATGAAGAGTCGATTTGGACTATTTCTATAATATATAATTCAAATTAATAATTAATTATAATATATAATAAATAATATTCATAATTCTTGATACGTTAAAATTTTCCTGTTGATGATAGCATAAATTATTTGTGATGTTAACTTTTTATTTTTGAAAGTTTTAATAAAACCACACTAATATATTTTTCTATTTATAAATCAAAATCCAATGGAAATCTTTTTAATTAATATTTATACGAGTTCAATGCAAGGAAAACGTTTTATAATTTTTATTTTATAATTAAAAAAATAAAAAAAATTAAATTAAAATACCTAAACATGATAGAAAATAAAAGTTCAGAGGACTAGTGATACACCTGAAATTTAAGCGTAGAAATCTGTTTTATATGGAACAAAACTATTCACTATAAATTCGTGGAATATTTTTATTCAATATTATTTGAAAAAGAAGAAAATCTATAATGTAACGTTCCTATTTTTTTATTAACTAAAATGTATTCAAAATTATTAGATTTATTAATATTAAAACTATTATACATTAAGATTTTATTTTTTTATTTTTAAAAAAATGTTATAAAAAAATAACAATTCTAAGTACATACTATATAATGTTTTCTTCTATAAAGAAAGAAAAAAAATCGTCTAGTATGGATCTATATTAAACGGTGTTATCCCGCGAAATATAATTTTTCGGCACAGTAATCATAGAGAATTAATTATTTTATTTTTAGATCCACAAACTCAATTATATCATCATGACAATATCATGAATACGTATCACACGAATCTTTGACAGACAAATATTTATTTGAATAATTTTAGTCATTTTAACAATGAAAATGTTCATTTTCATTAATGTTGATTTTTTTTTAATCTAATATAAACTAAGTGATATTCAAATCTAGAATATCCTAAGGGTATTTTTATGAGCAATATTTCGAATGTACACTTTAAATGTATTATTGTAACTTAATGCCATTTAGATTCATTTTTCAAATTAAAATGATTTATAAATACTTTTAAAGTTAAAATAAAGTCTCACGAAAGTAAAACAATAAACATTTTTTTTAAGTGGTTTTCATAATATACAAACTTCAATGGTAAAATAATAAGAGTTTTTGGTTAAAATTAAATAATTAAATAGTAATAAAAGTTAAAAGGGGTATTTCTTTTTACCATATGGAACCATATGCATTTTATATTTATGTTATGTATGTTCGACACTATGTTTTTAAAATAAAATAAACAAAATCACTGCACTTTTTGCAAGGAAAATAGTATTTTCAAAAACAAGCTATCTAAAACTTCAAAAAAATTATCAATTTTCAATACAGAAATAAATTATTTGAAATGTCGTAATTTTATTTCGTAAAAGAAATAATTGTCGCAAAAATAATAGTTAGTTAATTCTGTGTTTTCGATATTACTATCAGGGACTGGAACCAGAACCGAAAGAACCGGTTCCGGTACCGGTTCTTGAGAAAAACTTAGGAACCGGAACCTTTTTTAGAACCTATATTCTTTATTTCGTAGAACTGGAATCGGAACCGGAACTTATTTAAAAAAATTAAAAATACTTTTGGTTCTTTTCGGTTCTTCAGAGATTTTCGATTTTATAAAATTACAGCAGATATAACTAAAACCATTTATCTAATATTTCAACAATAAACATGAACTTTTTGTTTTTATCTTTATTAGAAAAAATACAAACATTTGATAAATATATTTCTTGTAATTTTTGTATTTTATACATACGAGCGTACGTAAACGAAACGAACGTAAAAACACAACGCGCTCTGATGAATGTTAAAAATACGCAGTGTGCCGACTGCCGAGGCCTTAATAATAATAATAATAATAATAACCTCAATAATACAAGATTCATACAAGAGTTAGATAACATCATGTCGTATAATATAGGCTATGGTTTATCAATTCCCCATTTTATTAGAAAAAATATTTGATTTTTAGCACAACAGCAACCGACACCACGCGATAAGCTACCTCTCCACGTCCTATTACTACACATCCCAATCATTTCTATACAGTATTCAACAGTGAATCAATCGCCGAATCAATCAGTGGGGAAATCGCCCCCCCCCCCTTGAGAATGTTTAGACCAAGACAATTTTTATATAAGTAATGGGTATTTTATTAAGAAACAAAAATTATGATTTATTTTATAGTATTACTACATTTGAAAACGTTTCAAATTTTACACTAATTTAAATAACGCAAAACGCTAAATTGTTCATAACGTTTTAATTGTCAATAAAGGTAAGTGGAAAATTTTTTTAACGTTTAAACACTTAAATTGAATAACGTTTAAATTATTTATAGCGTTAAACGCTCGATTTTTTTATACCGTTTCTATATCCCATAACGATAAATAATATATATTATTTTGATTGAAGACCCAGTCCATACTTAGTGAAAAATTAAATAAAACACCAGCAAAACTTTCAAAACATAGATAAGTGTTAAAAAATAACTACACAAAAGACCATTTTAAGTGGATCTGGCATTAAATTAAAAAAAAAAAAAAAAAACACAAACATTAAAGATTCACCTGATATAAATATTACCAAAAATTTTACTTGTAAATTTTGAGCCTGAATTAATGAAAAAATTTTAGTCCCCCCCCCTAGAAGTAAGTCTAAATACGCTCCTGGTATGCACTATAATTATCAGGTCTGTTATGTATATATTTGGTGACTGGTGTACTGCAGTGACTGCAGGAGGATTTGATGAAAGTCTATAATACTTTTAATAATAAATATATCTATTATTTTTGAAAAATGGATCGTCTATCAACTTAAATAGTTCACAAATATTTTAGCTATAGTAAAATAAAAAGCCAATCAATCTGTAAAACATGTTCAATAATAAAAGTAAATGAAAACAATTTTGTTAAAATGTTGTTTTTTTATTATTTAAATAATTGATTTTTGGACACTTTAAGTTTTGTTAATGGGTTACGGTAAAAAAAAAAAAAAAATTAGAAGACTTAAATAATTCATTAATGGTTACAATTAAATTTATAAAAAACAACCATTGTATGTAAAGTCAATAACAACTTTAAACTGACAAAATTATTGTTTTAAGTTAATTTTTAATTTTCTCAACTAAACATTTTTTTATATATATCTTAAATATTTAAAAATTGGAACCCAAATTTTGTATTATTTAAAAAACGGAACCAAATTTCTCTATTTTCTAAGAGCCGGAACCAGAACAGGAACAGAATTTCTTAATTTTCAAAGAACCGGAACCGGAACCAGAACCGATAAAAATATCAAGGTTCCAGTCCCTGGTTACCATAATTGTATTACGAATCGTTGCATATAAAATAGCTATGAATACATTTTCATTCACAATTTTTAAACTAAGTTTTTATTATTGACGTATATGTAACACGTGATGTTTAATAATTAATTGATAATATTAACAACTATTTTTGTATATTTACAATTTACAAAACAGGGTGTGCGATGATAGCCAAATAATAAAATCGCTAATAATGGCATTAATTTATCTACTAAGGTTATCGTGTATTTAAATATATTATTATCAATGCAGTGCATTATTTGAAAAGTACGTTTGTTTTTTTCATCACGTCATCGCGTGAAACAAATTATTATTTATAGTGTATAGTATTTTATTTGAATAATACTAACCTGGCGTGATGTGAATGTAAGTCGAGTCGGGGTCAGTATTCGGAGGCTGACAAGTATAATTTCCCGTATCGATTTGAATTACTTTTGTGATTGTCAGGCGGCTCTGGATTTTACGATCAACTTGGTCCGTGCTGATGGACAGGCGATCAGTGTTCAATCCGTTTTTATTAAAATTACTGGATGATATCATTTTACCATTATGATACCATAAAACGTATTGTGGTGGCACCGGGCTCTAAATCAAAATTAATTGAAAATAAAAACATCACATTTTCACTGTACGTATATATATATATAGAATCGTGAATTATTATGATTCGAGATTAACATCGGGGTGTTAGAAAATTCCGATAGTTACTTATGTATAAGAGACCGTTGACAAGTTTAGAGTTCAATATATCTCGCGAACTTGTTAGCATGCAGAAACACGAAAACATACTTTCTATTTTATAGATGTTATCAAAACTTTAACGTTCATATAATATAGTACGTACACATAAATTATGTACGATTCTTATTTTGCCCACTGCGTTATATATTAATGGTTTTTTTTTTTTTTTTTTTTTAATGTAACACTCGAATAAATTATCTACATTTATCTCGAAAACATTATGGTCTATAGGTGTAGCATAGAATACGTTTTCGCTATTTTTCATAAAAGATGAACCAGATATGAAATAGTAATGCATGTAATTGTGTGTTCGGACAATGATCAACATTTTTCTGTCTTTATGAGTAGATTCTAGTGTTTTATATATATTATCTTTATTATTGGTGTGCAATTGGAATACCTTTAATTTATATGCTTTGTAAAAAATTATTTATCGACTCCAAATGATTTATTATTTTAATTTCATTCATATTCTACGTAAAATACTACACTTCGATGCAATTTAATATATCGACATTATTGACACACATAAAGACTTAGAATTATAAATTTGCATATTTCATGCTCAGCTCAATTTGTTAATAAATTAAAAATTTGAAGAAAATTTCAAAAAATATATAGATTAACGTTGTATATGCTATAAATAATCCATTTTTTATATTATGATTTACACGTATATATTGTAATGAGTTATGATTTATTTTAATCTCAAATAATGCACTAAAGTTATGTTTTACAAGACATTTTTATACGCTATAAAATATATATCTGAAAATGTTATATTGACGTGAACTATGACTTTGGAAAAAGTAAATGGTTTTCAGGGTAACAGAAAAATCGTGCTATGTTGCCTTGACAACCTATAATAAGTGAATATATATTCCACAATATATCATTATACTAATTTGTATTCCTTACGTGGTCATATGGTTAAAATTGATGAAAAAATAAAATGCCACGATACGAGTCGGGCTTACGGAAAATTTTAAATTAATAATAGGTTGAACTGTGTAACAACACTTTCATATTATAAGAAATGCTAATGATATATACGTCTTAAATATACGGCGTTGTCGGTGTTTTATTCATTCCAATACTTCTAATCTATATTTACATTTATGATGGCTTAGTCGACTTATAATTTTTATTAAAAATTTAGTAGAAGAAAATTTATAATTTTAGATTTTTGTTTAATATTATTATTTATTTCATTTTACTGGTAGGTATATGTGTACTATCTTTAAAATAATATATTTATTTCCCCGAAAAAGTTATTAATTAATTTCATTTTGTTTCTATAGTTAAATAAATAAATAATTTATCGATTGATAAAATTATGAAAAATATTTATTAACAGTATTAGTTAATAATATTAGTTAATCAGAATTAACCATTATTCCCCTCGTTGTGTCAAATGTGGTGATAACCATTTCTACACAGAATGGACAAAATAATCATCAAAACACATGAAATACGCTATATGCTCAGGATCGCATACAGCTTCCTATAAGGGCTGTCCTGTGTACCAAAATATCATAGAAACTCGCAATAAACTAAAGGCAGCTAAATTTATTAAATATCTCACTCCAATAACACCGCCAACTGACGACTACGCCTGAAAACACAATTAACACATTTCTTGGACATGTTAGAGCAACATATAATTAATTTATACTTTGCTATCCTTCATATTAAAGCGCCTTCTATCGTATTTTTTATCCCCTAAATAATATCTAAATCATATATTCTAATTATACTAGATGTATAAATTTGAATGCTTTCATTATACTATTATTAAATTCAATTAACAGTTTCCTTGAAAACTTTAAACAGATAACTTCTCAAGATAAATAAACAAATGTTTAGCCTGGTGTATTATTATATTTATAAAGTACGACCGGTTTTGATTTAAAAATTAATCATTTGGTGTATACAAAGTCAATAAGATCGCAACTGATTATAAAAAAAAAGAAGGAATAAATTGAGAAAAATGAGTCGTCTTACATAGAGATATAAATTAATAGAAAAAAATTATTCAAAATTAGTTTTTATTGTACATTTAATAATTATATTATAGTATAATATAATACATTTATTAATAAATCCTTAATTATATATTCTAATTATGTCAGACTTATGAATTTCAATACGTTTAATGTGTTCATTATAATATTTTTATAGAAACTTTTTTCAGTTTTCTTTTATCATTATAATTACAACTGTTATTATTTGGATAGTGTTATAAATATATAGTATAATGTAAATTCTTTCAACATGCACTATTCGTTGTATAAATATAATATTATATTCTTATTGTAAAACCTATAAAAATCTATACTATAAGCGGTTTAGCGAAACCTGGAGGGTAACGGGTTATAACCCCCCCCCCCCCCAATGGTAATTTTTATTTTGTAAATTATATGATCGTTTTTAATCAGATAATGTTATGTCATCATTAAATAATTTTCACAGTTTCAATAAACTAAATAATAACACATTTTATATTTTATCAAATGTTAAATCGGCTAAAACTAACTAAACAAACTAAATAAAGTTTGACACCAACTGTACCGTTGTTCTCGAAAAAACGATTCGTGGTGCGAAGAGAGAGTCGTCTGTGATTCAGATTGAATTTCGTGCATGATAATATTTTTTTACGAGTAACAGAACTATGCGAAATACGTTCGATCGGGCGGGCTTATGTTTTCGTAGAGAAAACATCCGTTCGTGTGGACAGAAATCGGACGGTTCGGATAACGCAGCGATGAGGTCAAAAGATATTTTATTACGAGTAGTGGTACGAGTTAACGCTGTCGTTGCGCTGGGTCGTCCTATCTCGCGGCTACGAACACGGTCGGTACGTACAATTATTAATTAAACCGTCCCGTAAGCTATTCATTATCGGTTTTTGGTACACGTACAGCTAGCGGAAGAGCGCCAAAGCAAATTTCGTTACACATTATTACGATAAAGATATACGAGAGACTAATTCGACCGACGCAACCGGAGCATTAGCCCCATCCACGTAGTTTCGTATTTGTTTTAATATTATTTTGTTTCCCGGCTCGGATCGCTCGAGGTTCTCGGCAACCGGCGTTGCAAATCATATTTTTTTGCGAGTTAAGTGAACATTGACATCGTAAAGTTGTTGTGCATCGGTTATTTTCCGCTGCGAATTCACGTACAATGTAATTTTATTGATATTATAACCGTTGTTGGTAATCTGGTATCCGGTCGAAAAATCCAAATCCGAAAAACCCACGGACTAGAATACCTACTCGTAGAACAAAAAATAAAAACCAATAATCGCAAACAAAATCATGTTTTAGCGGTTCGCATAAGGTCGCATAAACGTTTTAAAAAGAACATGGATTAATTGACTTGGGATTTTATTTCCTAGAATCGTTATTATCATTATCACTAAAAATTATTTATAATGACGATATATTATCATATTAAATGGACATTTTAAGTTGACTGTGCAGCGTACTTACGTTTTCGATTGTACAACACAATGTGATTGAACTTCCTTCACCTATGTGGTACTCGTCGTTACCCGATATCACAGCCGTGGGTACGATCACGAATAAGTTGAAATAATGCGTCATAATCCCAGTGCCAGTACCCACCTGAAATAAACGAAAAATTAAAATCATTTATACTTTAATAAACTCTTTCTGATTATATTTTTTTTTTCTTTAGCATGTTTATTTATGAAAAACAATAGAATATAATACCAAACAGAAATAATTTTTTTCTGACCATAATACCTGAATTTCCAAAATTTGGTTTTATCGGTTATGAATAATATGTACCGATTTTTGTATTTTATATAAACGAGTGAATATGATACTATATATACGTATATTATATTAATTCAAAATAAAAATTAAATATATGTTTTCCATAAAAATGTGTCGAAATAATACATCATACGTTCGTTACAAAAATAAAAAAAACATGTGTGTAAAATAATTTACATGTGATTATAGTAGCTGTAATAATCTGATAAATAATCAACAAAATCAGAAAACTATACGAAATTAAAATAAAACATCGTACAGAAAGTTAAACATAATTAATTATGGAGCGTTTAAAATATTATTATTTTTTTTTTTTTTTAACTGATATTAAACTGATTAACCGACAGCAATTTTTATTAGTGATATGTAACATATTAATAATAAAACTATGAAACGTCTAAGTCCTTTTTAATGCAAAACTAATTCATATAGAAAATATATTAGGTGGTTTTGACATTTATTTTTTTAATGTAATTCGTTTTAATACTATTGGATAAAACAATTGTAGACGTATATTTTACTCATATATAAAAGGTTTTTTTTTTTTTTTTTTAATAAAGTAAAATAATATATTGATAAAGTGATTGTTAAACACAAATATCCTAGCTAGTCGTTATCGAATAACCCTTTTTGAAGCTTAAAGACCGCTAAAATATACATGTCGTACGTATTAATGTTTTTGGCAGTAAATTATAATACTTTTAAATACGATTATTTAAAATAATGTGAATTCAACTGTGCCACAATGAAAATATTTTGATAATTTATTATATGTATGTATTTAAATTTTTAAACACTTTATAAATAAATACAAGCGTTTTAGATTTCAATAAAAAACATTTTTTTTTTTTATACAACGAAGAACATAATTATATTTAAACGTGGTAAAACATTTTTATTAACAGTTTTATCAGTAAGTAATGATCAATTGTTGTGAGTTTACCAATAAACAAAAACGAATGAAATAATATTCATGACCAAAACACCATTATTAAATATTATGTTAGTTTAACAAGCGTTAGTATTATGATGTTAATATGTAATGTTTCTATTATATAATTAAATATGTTTGTAAATCGTTTGACCATAATAGGTACTTATAAAGTTGTACATTATGGAAAATAAGTCAAAAGTATAGCGCAGATATTTTAAATTAAAAATCGACGAAAATAATTTTGATTGGATATATTGTGTAATATAACCTAAGTCAAACACTGGAAACATGCACCATTGGATCGGGAAATGGTAAGTTTCCACACAAAACACAACAGGTAATCGATTACATGTGTAAGTTTCTGCACTAAATAAAATATACTGGTACGTAAATTCCTGTACGAATAAAAATATACCGGTTTGTAAGTTCCTATACGAACAAAAGTATATTTTTATGGCTAAAAACTAGTTGATAATAAAATATCATTGCGATTATTTAGTGATAAATTACATACAGGATAATAGTACTTTCCCCACCTAGTATTTGGGTTAGTATTAGTTATTTTAGAAATCTTACCACAAATAGTTTTCACTCCAATTTCAACTTAATTTTTATCATTATCATCATATTAATATATTCAAAATAATTTAAATCTTAAAAATATTTCAAATAAATATATACTATATGATAATCTTATATTAAAATAAGAATATTAGATACCAATATACCTTTAAAAATAAGTAAAATAAAAGAAATTAAATAAATAACAAAATATTAGGATACGACTTAAAACAAAACACTTAACAATAAAAGCAATAAACAATATGGTTATGTTAAAAGTTTGAGTTTTTGAATAAACCATATAGAACTGTATATTATGTTAATATTATCATTATATTATATACTATTATAATTATTATTATAACTATCATTAATCAAAAATTGAATAAAATATTTTTATAAAACACAAAACAAACAAAATTTAATCACACAAATTACGTTGTTAGTCTTAAATCTGAAGAAGGTGGGAACGAAATTTGTATTCATTAAAATTTTTATTATGGTATAGGAGCTAACGTAGTGGTATAATTTTTTCGAATAGGAATTTACAAAAATGTACTCAAGAATGATGATTTTTACCTGCTATATTTCGTGTAGGAACCTTTACTCGTATATTCACCGACTGGATCCCAGCTATAGGGTTCAAATAATTATAAATTGAGTTGAACATTTGTTTACTGATGTTTATATATATTGTTATTATTTAATAGTTGGACGAATAACAAGATTGAAAAAATCATGGCTGACTGCGAAACCAACCGTAAGGTTGAATACAAAGAGAAAAGAGAAAACGAAAGTGTTTCAAGCTGTTGTACTGTCTTATTTACACTAGATATTCGACCACATTATATTTATTTATTAATTGCATAATAACGCCTTTTAGGGCAATAGTACAGAATGAATAACATAGCAGGTAAATAGGTAAGCATACATTAACATACAACAATATTATTTTTATATATTATTCTGTCTTATATCGGTACTGGCACTAATTATACAGTTATTTCATGAAGTTGATATGGACTTTTATAGCGTGCAATATTCGATTACTCAGAATCACATTAATCGTATCTGATAATTATTTTATTTTATTATTGACAACTACTAATATGCGTAAAAAGGCTTGAATTTTGTTTGATAATTTTGTGATCAACACCATTGCATATAGAAGCGGCGTAAATGCTATTTTATTTTATATGATTTAATATATTTACTAGTACTATATTATAATGAGCAATACTAGGTAAAACTAAGAATGCGTAGTAAATAAATATTAATTTTTTTTTTTTTTAATATTACATTTAAATAAAATTTGCCGGTAGTATTTCAAAAATATTTTTTTAATATATTTTATTTCAGTTTATTTTAGTGTAAATTATTTTTCAATTTTTTCTATTTTAAAATTCGTTCACAATTTTTTTATTATCTAGTAAATGTTTAATAACAGAATAATAATTATGAATATACATGAAAACTCATAGGATGAGTTTTGTAAATTAATTTATAAGACCAAATGAAAGTTTTTGAATTTAACATAAAAATAGATTTTATATAAAATCTATCAGAATTTAGTTCGTATTTAATTTAATATAAAAAGTACCTAAGTGTTTTTTGAAAATTTCAAGCTATCACGATCATATTTTATTATTTAGCTAATGATTTATATATTTGTTTTATCACAAAAAATATGAAAAACGTTATCGAATCATACAATTTATTTAATAACATTTTAGAACAATATGGTCTTAGAAGTATGAGTTGAACATCACATAGTGCACGATTAATGAATATACTTAAATAACACAAAGTATCGAGATTGTTTCCAATCATAAATTCAAAATTAAACTAAATTATTTTAAGTAAAACAAAATATAGGTTTCTACGGTTGAATATTGTCATAATTTTCAAAATATAATAACCAACATTGTATGGAGGATTCAGATTAAAATAATTAAAAATCCAAATATTGCAAAAGTTTGAAAATCGTATTTAAACAAAATAATATTAAAAAAAAAAAAAAAAAAAATTGTACTTAAAAAATCATAATATTTTGAAGTTTTCAGAACAGTCATCACCAACAAATGCGTTGTGTATTTTACGTAAAAAAAAAAATTAAATCATTCCTATATTTTAAAAAGTGTTCGTCTAAATGAGTTAATGTACCGTACAAAGAATAACTATATTTAAATAAGTTTTTTTATTAATAAAAAATAAATTAAAGCAAATTACGTAATTATAATACCGAAGCCTTCTAGGATTATTATTAATATTTATTTTTATTACCTTATTTCGGGAATAAATATAAAATAAAAGCGAAACCGGAGGAGATGCAGTGATTTCTTTTTAAATTATTTTGCTTTTTATATTGAATTTAAATTTTTAATCTTCAATTACAGCCTTCCGGGTAAGGTAGACCCCCCGGAAGGAGGTGCTCGATTCTATTTTACAAGCATTCAAGTAAGCATACATGTATATGGTATACACGGTTAGCGGAATCCATACAATGTATACGAAGGGCTTACAATTTACGGTGACGTGTTCATATAATATTCAATGTGATAATGTATTCGGTATAAATGTATCAGTGTATGCATCTTGTCCACGTTGATAATTTAAACGCATACTTTGAAATCAAACACAACGCAGCAGCTTCTACGATCTCCAATTACCACCTATCTGTTCCAACTAATGAATTTTTAGAATCGTTTGACACAATAGTATCCAATAATAACAATCCTCTTATAGTTAACTACTATAGTATTGTTCGTACGGTGATCAAGATATCGAGCTGTGTTTAACGCGATCGAACTGCGGTGATCGAGGTTTTTGATTCGTTGCGAAACATATTTTAAGTAATTTTCACTGATAACACTTCAATAAAATTGTCTATCAGAGGAACATAGAGAGAAAATCAACTTTTTTCATTATGGTCATTATGAGAATATGTTAGTGGCACGATCAACCACCACTGGGTAGCATTCAATTATCACTGGGGGGGGGGGCACTAGTGCTACATACTTTGTATGCTGAAATATGATTTGATTCATTGTGTGCGCATGTGGGTGTTATAGATTATTTTTTACCGGGCTTTGCATATATTTGCCTTATTACCCTGTATTTGTTAAACTTTTGCTTGCTTTAATCTTAGTTCGTCGGTCATTATACACTAAGTTGATTGCGTCCATCGTCAAAACAATTTTTTGAAACTGTTATTTTTTTTTCTTTTTAATATTACATAATATACGTATGCATATATGCGTATATTAGTAGTAAGTACACTGTACAGGCCCTATCGAATATTATATTATATTTCATGTTTAAATAACTTCGG